TGCAGTCGTGATGCGTCGCTGTTGCCCCTTGTTTGCCCCTTGTAGTGGTGGTCCCGCTGGGTGTCTCTGCATTTTTGGGTGTTCTGCTGGCGGGCTGTAGCTACTGTTAACTTTCGGGCATTGTGATGCGGGGATGCATTGCACCGACGATTCCTTGCACGGGGTCCGCTGTAACCTTCATTCATTCAGTGTATGTGAAGAAGTGCATGAATTCTCGGTCTTAGAGGGCATTGTGTTATGTGTGTGGTGTAGGGCGTGTTAGATTTCACACAGCACCTTTGGCCCTTCATCAGATTACATGCAGCACAAGTCACACGGCTGCCAGAGATTCACACAGATTCACACAGCGGCCTCCTTCATCACGCCTGCCTGGGATTCAAACATTCAGTGCTCCGTTTGGTGCTCCCGGAGTTGCATGCTCTGCGCGTTCCAGTAGTCTCTCTCAGGCTGTGACAGCTGCCGCCGCTTCAAGGCGATTTGCTTTGTATGCTCATGAGGCAGGGAGCTCTGTCCAGCTGCCGCTGCTTCTGCCTTCTGTGATTGCGTGAACAACATGTAGCCGTTTGGTACCTGCTTTGGCTTTGCCGCTTGACCACCCACGCTCTTCTTCCTGGCACGTGGATTTGTGACCTTCACAGCTGCTCCTCTATCTGTTATCAGCCTATAAAGAATCATGCCGTTTGCTTATGAATCTACCATGTAAGGGACATGCAACGACGTCAGAGGCAAAGGCTGCGGGGAAGTCAAACTCGAAGCCATGGAAGGCTATCTTCGCGCTCCGATTTAGCTGAATGTTCTCCTTTGGCCAATCAGTGAAAACTGATGTAGCTTTTACATGCAATCTTTAGCGGAGCGAGATATGTAAATTTATCTTACCCTGGAAAGGTATCTTTGCGTTCCGATTTATCTGAATTACCTCCTTTGGACAATCGATGTAGAATTGATTTAGCTTTTCAACGCTATTTTTTGCGGAGCAAGATATGTAAGCCCCTGACAGACTGACTGACTGACAGCAGTGAACACCTGGCTCGGCCCCCCGAATGGCGCTTCGCGTCCGAGGCCTCGCCCAAAAATGGAGAAAAAGCAAACAAGG